GAGCAGGATGGTGTTTCCACAAAAAAGGCCCTGGAGGCTTAGTGTGTCATGTGTTTGGCTGTGAACTGAAAGGCCAGCGGTTCCAATCCCCCAGGTGGCTGCACAGGAGAGATAGGCAGCCTCAAGACGTACAGCCCCAGAAACCGGGTGGGGAGAAGCTCGGAGCTGGAATCGGCTAAATGGGAGTGCAGGGACTTTATTCTGGTTTGGGAAGTTCCAGTAAGACGTCACTTGGAGCGGTGAAGGGGTGGTGCTGGCTGGATGTGGTCCAAGGGCCACAGTTTGCTAATTCTTCCTTGGTCTGTTAGCAGGTGCTTCCTGTCCTTGAAGGAATAGGTCAGACCCCACTCCTGCCTCAGGGCCTTGGCATGTACAAATGTCCTGGCTCTAAAGGGCTTGCTCCCTTGCTGCTGCCCTGCAGGCCATCTCAGCGGGTCCCTCCTTCCACGGCCCTCCATGACCACCCCCGATCTACAAGGCCCTCCATGACCACCCCCGATCTACACGGCCCTCCATGACCACCCGATCCACACAGCCCTCCATGACCACCCCCGATCCACACGGCCCTCCATGACCACCCCCGATCTACATCAGCCATCTCCCTGCTCCTACCTCAGAGCCCCTCACTGAGTCACCTGTCTCCACTGTCCATCTCCTGCACTGAATGGCACCTCTATGACAACCTGACCTGTCCTGTTGGGGCTGCATGAGCTTTGAGTTGCTCTAGAATGGAGCCAGGTACATAGCAGGTGCTCAAACCTGTCAGTGAACAGGTAGACGACACCCACCTGGAACCTCCTTGGGGCATGCCTCCCCCACCTTGTTGACTGCAGCCCCAGGGAATGGGAACGGGGGCCCAGGCTTGGTTACAGGGTGTCACAGTGGCCGGTTCAGGGACGGCCTGAGCCCAGCTGGGCCAATGCAGCAGGCTGCCAACTGGGTGAAATCCATTTCTCCTGGTGACTCTGAGCATCCTTGATAATGCTAGGCACTGGCCTGCCAGGACGAGCGCCTGGGATGGCAGGACCATGCGCAGGGGGTGGTGGGAGGGCACGAGCCTCCTCGATCCATCTGTCTCCGGTCAATGACAAAGGGTTCTGCTCTCGACCCCCGAAGTCCTGAGTCACTCAGGGTAGGAGGCTGGATTCAGGCCTACCTCCTTGTGCCAAATGTCGCAACGGGCCTGTGTGAGTGTCTGTGGATGTGGCTGTGTCAGTGTTTGGAACTGATGGCAGAGACTTGTGTGTGGTGTGTGTGTGTGTGCCTCTGGACTGTGAGGCCCGAGGACACGGTCAGGCTGCCCCGGTCCCCTCCACTCCATGCTCATAGTGGGCTACTCTGTCGAAGTTTGTTGAATGAAAAGAACTGAGGACATTATTCTAATGTGAATAAGGGCTTTTTTTTTTTAAAAATGTCAATGAACATCTACACAGATTTTGGAATTCCATTCATTCATTGTTGCACTTTTCTCCCCGCCCACCCCACATATAAGGGCTTTTTTTTTAAAAAAAAAGGTTTTTTTATTCTTAGATGCTTGTGATTTTTAGTTAAGGCTTTTTAAAATTTGAACAAACACGTGCACAAACTTGAAGACTGCCAGACTCATTCTTACAAATTTATTATGGCCCCTCCCCAAATCGCTAGTGTACACAAACTGGCGACTAGGCCCAGGGACAGTGACCCATCCCCAGGTCGCCATGAACGCTGAGAAGGCTTGTTCTACGCCCCACGCCCCCCTTCACCCAACCACAGTGGGTGGGGCTGTGCCTCAGGGTCCCCCAAGGACTGGCCATGTGTGAGGACACGGCGAGGCTGAGTTTGAAGTCTGGGATGTGTGCAGAGGGGAGGAAGGATGGGTCTGGCCCAGACCACCAGCCTCACATCCCACCTCTGTGGTGTCGCCGCTGCAGGTGTAGCCTGGTGCCAGGGGCTTCCACCCTGTGCCTCAGTTTCCTCATCAGAGTCAGGTAGGGATTGTGCAAAGCACCTAGAACTGTGCCTGGCACCAGCCAGAGCTCAATCAGCTGGAGCCTTTTTTTTTAAATTATTATCGGCTGGAGCCATTTGTAGACAGACGAGCGAGGGGTTGAGGGCTGGGATGTCACAGCTCCCGACCTTCACAGCTGTGCATGGACATCAGGCACTGGGCCTGGCCCCGCGTCTTGTACTGGCCTCTCTGCCGCCTCCCTCCCCTTATCATTTAGCCATCTCTTCCCTCTTCTAGAAGGTCCTTTCAGGACTTCTCAACTCTATGGCTTTCTATGTGGGCAGGTGTTGTGTCCGGGTAATTTTTAACCACAGAGCGTAAAGTGAAGGGAAAGGAAATGGGAGAAGTCTCCTTCCTGGGAATCTGGTTCGCTCTAGGATCTCCAGCACAGAGGATGAAGCTGTTTGCTTCTTAAGAGACCTCTGGCCTCCCAAACCCTGAGGGACACTGTGTGTGTGTCAGAGGGTCTACTGCTTGGATCAAGTGGGTGGCAGTAGGTGGGTGGGTCAGCTGCTGCTCCCTCCTAACTCGATTCTTTCTCAGGGGAGTCCTAGTAGCACTATGGTTAAGGCATTCATTCCGCTGTGGCCCAAAAGAGAAGTGGTTTAAACTCCCCACCCGCTCCAAAGGAGGCAGATGTGCCAGTGTGCTTCTGTGACAGTGACACCCCTGGAGGCTCTGTGGGGCCATTCTGCTCTGGGAGAGGGTCGCTGGGAGGTGGGATTCACTCAGCAGCTTCAGGCAGAGCTTCTGGGGTGGCGGGGAGGGGCTCTGGGAGGAGGCTTCTGGATGCCCTGCACTTTTGTGTGGGGGGCACCTCCCCACTCCACATCCTCACTCCTGCCTAAGGTAGCAATCCTCGGGCACCAGAAGCCAAGGATAATCTGGGCTCCTGCCAGCTGCTCTTCCTGGGACCTGACTCTCTGCTCCTACCATGTCCCCACCCAGGAGGAAGGGGTCAGGGCCCGTCCCCCATCAGCTGGGGGCCTTGGGCACATCTCTCTACGCCCAGAACCTTAGTTTCCTCACCTGGGAGAGGGCTCACAGGATCACTCTGTGTCCTGGCCCCAACATGATCCTCCCAGAATCTCTGCTAATTATAAGCCTTGTGCCCATTAAAAAAACACAACAAAACCAAAAAACAAAAACTGGTTAAACACACTTTTTATCAATTCCAACTTATGGTGATGAACCTCTATCTAGTTTCTGAGCTGCAAATCTTAACCAAATCAACTTTGTCCTGCAGAGCAGCTGGTGGGCATGAAACGCTGACCTTCGGGCAAACAGCCCAATACGTAATGTTACATCACTGGGGCTCCCACTGTGGAGACCCACGGAAGGACGTGTTCTCAGATACACCCTCAAGATGACTTCTTCACCCCAGGTTCCTTCAATTCAGAAACATCCACATCTGCAAATAGAACTCAGCCTGGGTGGGGCGGCCCCCACCCAGCCTAGAATCCTGGGCGGGATGCCAGGCGGGGAGGAAGCGGATCTGGCAAGTGGACCGACTAGTCCGTTTCCAATGTGGGAATATCTTTTTTGGGGTCGGAAGTATAATGAGTTGAACGTCGGCCCCAGAAAACATCTGTCCCTGTCCCAAGTCCCAGAACCTGTATGACCCTCCTTGAAAAAGGGTCTCTGACATAGGTGTGGTGAGGTGGGCGCCTGGGTTTAGAATGGACCTAAAGCCACTGAAGCATCCTGGTGGCGCAGGGGTTAGCCATTCGGCTGCTAACCCAAAAGTGGGCAGTTTGAAGCGGACAGCCTCTCCTTGGGAGAAAGACAAGGCAGCTGCTTCTGTACGGGGCAACCTGGAAACCCCATGGGCAAGTGGGTCCACGCTGCCCTTCAGGGTCACTGAGTGGACTTGACAGGGTGGGTTTAAGGTTGGTGACAAGTGTTCACCAGACACTGGGGGGAGGGGGGCAGGGCTTGACACAAGCAGCCACCAGCAGAGACATACGCTTAGAAACCACAAAGGTCTCCCCTAGAGCATCCAGAGGGGCCCTAGAACTGGAGAGGCAAAATCCCTGCTGTTCTAAGTCACCAAGTCTGGGGTGATGTGGTGGGCAGCCCTCCCTCTTGACACGAATACCAGAGGGCTGAGGACGGGTTGGGGGGGCCTGGGTACAAGCTACAAAGGGGGACCATTCAGAGCCTTGAGGGGAGGGTGTGGGCACAGGGATCAACCTAGCTGGCTGTAAAGAGGAGGGGAGGCCTTCTACTTCACATATGGGGGGGGGTGGCAGTTCGAGAGGCCAGCCGAGGAAGAAGAGGGGAGAGGACATCAGGAAGCGAAAGGCCAAGTGGCTCTGGAGAACGTACCAGGGGCTGAGAGGAAACCCAGATGTGGGGGGATGAGGTCTCCACGGGCTCAAATTTTCCAACTGAGGGAAGGGATGTTTAGGGAGAGGCGGGCTCTGGCCTGGACTGAAGAGCTGGGAGAGGCAGTCTATGGGCCAGGTTAGGGAAGAAGACCTACAGCTCAGAGGATGGATAGTGGGTATGGACAGAGGCTGCTGCCCAGCAGGGGGCCACTTCAGATGAGGAGACAGCACTTAAAGAGAAAGAAGTTTCTTACAACAGTGTGTGCACTGGGCCACAGGAGAGGCCGCTCTGTGGTAGTGGAGCCGTCCCAGGGAAAGGGAACCCCGTCCCAGAGCAGTCCCGCTCATGCCAACGAGGGCACACTAACTTAACAGACTGGCGGCTGACAGCGCTCCATTCCAGGCTACGGCTCTCTCTCCCCAAAGAGGATCCTGTGGGCTGGACCTCACAGGTCTAGTAGTTTGGCGTGGGGTGGATCATTCAGCCAGACGTAGGCAACACGTCTTCCTCGGCTGGTCTCAGTGGAAGGTACCACTGGTCTGGTCATCAGGGAGATGGCTGAATGTCCAGTTGGGTCAGCACCAGTCTAAGATGGGGGTTTCGGCGAGGCCAGTGCCAGCGAGGTGTGGAGACGGTTTTGTGGGGTGCCCAGCACAGGTCCAAGTCCAGGACCCGGTGTCCCCTACTTCTCCCGCATGGCTTCGGCTTGGGTGCTAGGTGCTGCCCGGGTGGCCGAGGACTTCTGTGCGGAGGGAGGTCCGTCGGGGGCGCAGAGCTGGGCCTGCACTTCCTGCAGCTGTACCTGCAGCTCCTCCAGAGCGCTCGGCGAGGGCAGGGCCTGGACCTGCGTCTGCAGGGCATCCAGGGCGAGGGCCAGGCGGCCCACCTCGTCCAGCAGCGAGTTCCAGGCTGCGCGCTGCTCCTCCTCCTTGTTGCGCTGTTGCGACTGGTGGCGCCAGTACTCCAGCACCAGGCAGCCACCGCCCACAATGAAGATGGTGGCCTCGCCCAGCAGCTCGGCGCCCAGCTCGGCCGCAGCCTCCTCGTTCAGCGGCTTGATGGCTGTGCCCCGGAAGCCCATGATGCGCATCTTGGTCCGCATCTCCACCCAGTGGTACACTGCGGGGGAAGACAGAGGTCAGGACACGCTTGGGGAGACCCGCTGCAAGCCTCCCCCCCAGCCCCCTCCCCCGTGCCTCAGTCTGCCCGTCAGATCAATGGGAACTCAGCGGCTACAATCACCAGGCCCCTTAAAACAAGACCTGCACTTGGCTCCACCCAGTGAATGCCAAGCAAGTCACGAGTCTGGGGTGGTCCCAAAGGGGTCTGAAAAGCACCCCGAAGATCCTAGCAGACAGCCAGGGATGAGAAAGCCTGTGCCGAGGGAAGGCACTCAGACCAGGGCCAAGGAGTCCTGGGCAGCTAAGTGCACAGAAGGTGCAGATTCAATGCCCGAGTCTCTGCTCCCCTTCAGCGCGCCACCACCCTGCCATCACCTGAAGGCCGACCAGCTCCTCACCTCTGTCCTACTCCCGCCCCCACACCCCTCACCTCCTGTCACCCCGCTTCCACCCCCCTCCCACGTGCCCAGGTGAAAAGCCCTCATGGCTTAGTGCTTAGAGGACTGCTAACAGAAAGCTTGGCAGTTCAAACCCACCAGCTGCTCTGTGGGAGAAAGGTGAGCATCCCTCGTGTAAAGATTTACATCTTGGAAGCCCAGTGGAGGGTCTAATCAATGGTGGCGGGGTTTGTTCCTTCCGATAGGCGTCCTGATGGCACAGTAGGTTAAACGTCGTGCTAACTGACAGGTCGGCAGTTCCAACCCACCACCAGCAGCTCTGTAGGGGAGAGATGGGGCGGTCTCCTCCAGTGATTAGAATCCACATCCCCAGGATACCTCTAAGATTGACATGTGTGTGCTGTGCCGTGATCTTCTCGGCATCTGAGAGCCTGGGTCCTAGACGTACACTGGCCTTCCACTGAGTTTAAGGACACTACTACTGTCACAGGGCTGAGGCTTCCCATCCCAGGACGTGCTTCTCTCTCCACTTCCTTGGTCTTTTGTTGTCCATTAAGGTTTCATTGTTTCCAGAGTCCAGGTCTTACACTTGGTTACATGTATCATCATTCCTAGGTAGGGGTGCTTTTTGGACGTTCCTGTGAATGGCATCCTAATTCCATTCTGTATTTGATTAGGTTGCTATGCAGAAAAGGAGCCCTGGTGGGGTAAATGGAGCCATGAAGGAGGCTGGAGGGCAGCATGCTCCACGGGAGAAAGCCAGGTGGTCTCCTCCCGTTTAGATTTACAATCTTGGAAAGTGATGGGGGGAGGGTGCCTCCGTGAGTCGGCATGGACCTGCCAGCAGTGAGCTTGGTGTTTCCATTTACAGAAACGTAACTGAGCTGTGCAAACGACTTGATACTCAGGACTTCAGCAATCTCACTTCTTCTTTTTTCCCCCTTTTTAATGCAATGTAATTCATATACAATACAGTGTACAAACACCAAGTGCAGAGCTTGAGAATTTTAATGCATGTACCTTCCACCTAGATCAGTGGTAGCTGGGTGATGTCAGTGGTTAAGCGTTCATACTAGCAGAAGAGAATTTAGAAGAGGCGTGGCCTCTTCACTGCTGATGTCAAATGGATCCTCGGTGAAAGTAAAGAATATGAGAACGTCTACTTATGCTTTATGGACTATGCAAGGGCATTTGTGTGGATCATAAACTTTGGCTGACACTGTGAAGAATGGGACTCACAGAACACTTACTTAGGCTCATGTGACACCTATACCTAGATCAAGAGGCTGTTGTGCAAACTGAGCAAGGGAATACAGCGTGGTTTAAACTTAAGGAGTGCACCAAGGTTGTATTCTCTCTCCATACTAACTCAATCTGTCTGCTGAGCAAATTATTCAAGAAGTTGGACACTATGAAGGAGAATGTGGCATCAAGATTGGAGGAAGACTCATCAATAACCTGTGTTACGTAGATGACACAGTCTTGCTTGCTGAAAGTGAGGAGGATGTGAAGCACTTGTTGCAGAAGATCAAAGAATGCAGTACTCAATATAGATTGCATCTCAAGGTCAAGAAATAGTTCTTCACACTGGACTGATACATGGCAACATCATGATGGAAAAAAGATAGAAACTATCAACAACTTCCTCTTACTCGGATCCATAATCAACACCCTTGGTACCGGCAGTCAGGAAATCAGGACATGTATTGCACTGGGAAATTCTGCAATTAGGGACCTCTCCAGATTAATGCTATCAGTCAACTACTGATCCTTCTTCTCTGTTCCCATATAGTCTTTGCAATCACTTGCTATTTATCAGAGAGCTGGACAATGACTATGGATGATACAAGGAGAACTGATGCCTTTGAGCTGTGGTGTTGGAGAGGAGTACTGAATAAAGCATGGACTGCTAGGAGAACAAACAGGTTTGTCCTAGAGAGTGTGAAGCTGGGCTGCTCCTTCGAGGCAAGGATTCTGAAGCTTTGTCTGACATACTTTGGACATGTTGTAAGGAGGGACTGGTCCTTGGAGAGGGACGTCATGCTTGGGAGGGTGGAGGGACAGCACAGGAGAGGAAGACCCTCAATGAGATGGATTGATTCAGTGA